CCCCAAAACCCCAAAACCCCAAAACCCCTTAGTTTACAATAAAGAGATTATTTGAAATTGACTTTGATAAATTAAAGTAAAAAACTTAAATTACAATCGATTAAGGAATCTCAATTATAAATAGACTTTGAAGGAGAAAACTTTGAGTTAGAACTGTTAACCTACAATGCAAGAATATTTTCTTTGTCTACATATGATGATGAGGGACAAAACTTCATATGCTGTCTCTTACAAGGAGTTTTATTTTACTTCTATTTATGATGTTTATTGGCAATCAAAAGTTTTCCACTGACTGTTCGCATTCTGGTTTCAACTTCTTGGTTTTCCATTGGCTTGAAAGGATCCCTATCTCGATTATCCCCTGTGTTTTATTTCTTCTAGGCTTTGAACCTATGCAAACAATGATCACAGTATTCAGAGTTATCTTCACCTGCAGCTGCTGATTCACCATGAGATTCTGTCTTAATAAAATCTATGGTGAAGTCCAGATGATCTTCAAGGTTCATGCGCTTCTTTTCTATTACATTCTTAGCAAAGTTGTCAGAGAGTTTCCAAGAATTTTCTGTTGCTAAACAATCTGCCATGTTTTTAACCTTCCTTATCTCATCTCTTTCCTCTTCTGCTTTTTAAATCATGTATTTGTCGATGTCAATGTAATTAACGATTTTATCATCTCTTTCAATAGAAGAGGGTTACTCAGGAGCAAATCTTACTACTCCGTCAACAACGAAGTGATAATAGTACATCCCTTCTTTTAAATACTAAAATAGTAAGTTACTAACGAAAAAAATAATGATAATACCATAGATATTTCGAAGATCGGGGTATGATTGACCATGTTCTTATGAAGCTTGATCATATAATCCCAGTTTGTAAAAGATCCTATGATGTAGACCTCTTTTCCTCCATAAATCCAGGAGATCCTCACTTTATAAAGATTTAATATTTTTGAAATCAGGAAATAATTTGAGTTTCCATAAATATATCTTTAAGAACATGCTTACTATAACGTACCTTTCATAGCTTTTTGATTGAGTAAAGCATCACAAGGATATTAGGTTTTATCAGGAGTATCCTCAACTATCGATCTAAAGTTGCTATTAGGGCTGAACTTCCCATTGGATTCAGATCTTGATATGTCACTTGTTCCAAATCTGAAGGTTGGTCAGAAAAATTCATGAATTTACGTTGTCTACGCCTTGAAAATTGCGCCATCGGGTGAGATATGATGATCTTTCTCTCCATTTTTATTAGTCTTCCCCTTCTTAGTCGTTCCTTTTCTTCCAAAGTTACCGATAATCTTGGGAGACTTTTTCTCTGACTGCCAGTTTGAAGTGGTTCTAGTGCTTACTCTTCTATTCATATCTATAAGAATAACATATTAGTTTGATTAATCCTGAGATCATCGACTCAAATATGAGCCAAACACATAAACGATTTAGAGGGATACATACCAGTATTCAATCTAGAAGTGTTATTGAATTTCATGGAATCTTCACCAAGGGTGTCAGTGAAATCTTTAGCAAGAACCTACTTGGAGGTTCTGGAATTGCTAGAGGAGCAGAGTGAAGACTTTTGACCCATAGATACAAAAATTGAGTAATCTTGCTTTGAATATTGAAAAAATAATTAATTCAAGCCTGCTAATATTTATGTAGGCACATGATCAAATTCAATCATTCATACTACCCACTTAATTTTAAATAATTTAAATTTTAACGAAATTAAAGTAATTATCAATTATTTAAAGTTTGTCTAGTTCAAATGTAATAATAAAATGATGCATTTGATAGCTTCATTTGTATTCAATTGCTGATTTGTAGTTGCCTTTTCTAAATAAAAATCTGAACAAGTTTTTAGTTCTTTAACTACATGTGACATGGTCCTTAAACTTGTCCTTCATATTGTAGGTCATGCAAGCCTCATATCTTGACATTTTCTCTTTGAATGTAAGATTCTTTTAAACCAAATTTAAATATTTTATGAACATGTCCTTTATTGCGAGTAGATAAATAAATGCTCCGAATAACAAAGCATTAAACAAGATATATCTAGGATATTAAAAAGCGAATATGCTTATTGCACCTTATGCTATTCCTGTCATGAATAAAGCTACCCTGATAGTATTCTTAAATGTTCTAAAGAAAATTTTAATTTATGTTATTTACGGTTTGATTGTAAGCCACACACATATTAGGAAAACCATGAAGCTACCAACAATAAAGTAAAATGATTTATTTATCCCTGTTTTGCTATAGTTCTATGCTATCATTATTGCTCCTTGAACAATTAGAAGTAAACAGTAAATAACTGATACTATTAAAAAGACAACAAATGATCTATAGTTTCTTCTTCCAATGCAATTATTTAGGAATGTGCAATGACTATATTATGTAATTTTAAAATTTAATTTATTATTTGTTACTTACTGGTCAAATCCTCTAACACAATTGTTGCATAGTCTGCAGTGAGATGATTTAGGTGGCCTTTAAATTTAGCAAGTATCGCAATATCTAGGGTTATAAATATCTGCTCTCTGAAATACTTCATCATCCTAAAAAATAGAATAAATTAGCACAAATTAAGTTACATTTATTGTTTAAACATCGTCAGAGGTAAAGGAATTATACAACATCTAGGTATTTATGTTTGAATAAGAGAGATATGGATCTACATTCAAAAGTTATGCAAGTGGATATTTACCTAAAACTCCTGGGTCTCTGAATTATGTTCTCCAAGCAAAGAATATAGTTAGTAGCCCAAATAGCGAAGCTAAAAATTATTAAATGTCAATCTACTAACTAGCACAAAATAGAATGAGTAGTTCAGATTCATGAAACAAATAGATATTAAGGCCTTAAGCCATTAATGATGAGAAAATTAGAATATTGACTAAGATTGCTGGCAACTATTCTGCACTGGGTCCAGTTAAGCATAATCTAATTATTTCATAATAAAAGCTAATACTTACCCTCTGCAATACAATCTAGATTTTGTTCTTTGTCTCCAAGCGCTCCACATCGAGGTATTCATTATTTCTGAAGATGATTAAGTCGCACCAATAGCTGTGAAACTGTTCTCTGATTTCATTTATTATCAGATTCAAAATTAAGAAAAGTATTATATTAATTATTAAAAATTTAAATTCATCTAAATAAGTTTAAAGGTTAAAGTAAAAAATGAGTACAGTTATGATGCATGTTGGCCAAGCCGGAAACCAAATAGGCCATGAATTCTGGTAGCTTATGATGGATGAAAGTCCTATAAAGGAAGATATATTTTTCGATAGATTTACTAATCATGCAAGAGCAGTATTAGTTGATTCTGAGCCAAAAGTAATTAAAAATATACAGGAGGACAAAAAAATAAACTTTATTTTTGAAGCTAAACAAATGCATTGTTCTTAAAATGGTAGAGGAAATAATTGGGCTTTAGGCTATTCAAATACTTATAAAGAGGCCATAGAAGCCCTCCAATCAACAAATGACAAGCCATTATATGAAAGAGCTATGGAAGCATTGAGAAGAGAAGTTGAAAGATCTGATTTCTTTTTAGGAATGGTCTTAGTACACTCTCTAGCTGGAGGCACTGGGAGTGGTCTTGGATCCAGACTGGTTGAAGAATACAGAGACACTTTTGGCAAATCATATCTAATGTCAGCTTCAATTTGGCCTAATTCAAGCGGAGAAACCCCACTATAGCATTACAATACTTGCTTTTCATTATCTCACCTTTAGAAAAATTCTGATGCAGTGCTGTTATTTCAAAATGAGTAGATTTTAAAAGTTTTACATAAACTTGTAGCAATAAAAAAAGAGGAGACCATCACAATGACAAATCTTAATGAGAGCATTGTGAGTGTACTAAAATAAGTCCTTATGCCAAGTTAAGGCGAGAAGTTTGATTTTTCAGATGTTATGAGTATGGCCTGTGTCCCTGTTTATAAAATTCTGGAGGGTCACACAAACCCATTCATTATGAATAAGTAACTAATGTGTGTTGGTGATAAACTCTGGAATGGTGTATTAGATGGCTGCATCAGCTAAATTCCTACATATGACTCTTAAGCATCAAGTGTTAAAGGCGATCCGAATAAAGACAAATACAAGCAATCTTCAAGCACTATTAAATAAAAGGATAGAATTTCTTCAAGTGTTGGAATTCTTAGTAACGATAAAGGGTAATCTTCTTAGATTTAAGAGTAAAACAAATAGTTTGAATAGTGGTTTGATAAGGAAATCGCTTCTTAGAATAATGGAAGCGAGATGAATCATGCAAATCAGCTTCCCCATTAAACAATATTTTCTACTGGCTACTTCAAAGGATTTGATGCTTCAAATGAAATTTCAAGAACCTAGACAACATTCAAGCATTATAAAGATAAGTTGACACACAAATTCAAGAGTGTTGCTTGGAACCCTTCAAGTGAATCTACTACTGTAAGAGTGATAGATGAATCTCCCTTCAAAAGTTATGAAGCTTTAAGAAGCTGCACAATACTAGGAAATAGAACAAGCGTCAGTGTTCCTATTAGAAAGCTTTTGGACACTTCTTTATAAAAATATAATGCAAAGGCCTATTTACATTGGTATTATCAGTATGGAATGGAATAATAAGATTTTCTTGAGGCTTTTGACCTTGTTACTGATGTCTTAGATGCTTATGAGAGTGCTTTGTATTGAAAAGTATATCTTTTTTGTTAATTTATTTAGAATTATTATTATTAATATTACTCTGTCTATTCCATATACATGGGGTTTTGGGGTTTTGGGG